GTCGACTCAAAGGAAGATTAATATTTGGCCGAATTGCATACACACTTGTAATGATAAACATATGATAATTATAAGGATTTGCTTTGTCGATGATAAATCAATCCAAAGGCTGGTTTGTTGTTGGACGTGTTTTATTGTCAATGTTTGATTATTACAACAAAATACCTCTAGCAGTTAATATTACTTGTCCAAAGACTTGATATTGATGGTGCATTGGGTATCTTGAAATGGGTTAAACCACTATTTGAATATATATTATTTATTTTTTATATAATGTGAGCATAATTAGTTTATTTCTCGTGTTCTAAATTCAACTACAATTGTTTCTATATCTGCTAATTTAAATTACGTTCCGGTCCTCAATGGAACAAATTTTAAGGACTGGAAAGAGAACATTGATATTGTTCTTGGTTGCATGGATATGGATTTTGCGTTAAGGACTGAGCAAACCCCTACTCTTACGGATTCAAGTACCTTTGAACGAGAAAAGAGATTATGAGAGGTGGGATCGCTCAAATCGCATGAGTCCAATAATCATTAAGCGTGGCATCCCGGAGGTGTTTAGGGGCACTGTTTCTGAAAACATCACAAGTGCCAAAGAATTCCTTGCTGAAATTGAGCAGCGCTTTGCAAAAAGCGATAAGGCGGAGACAAGCACTTATCTTCAGAACTTGATCTCCATGATATATCAAGGCAAAGGAAATATCAGGGAATACATTATGAGCATGTCTAATATTGTTTTTAAACTCAAGGCACTAAAGCTTGAACTCTCAGAAGACTTGCTCATTCATTTGGTGTTGATTTCTCTTCTTGCAACGTTTAATCAATTCAAGGTATCTTACAACTGTCAGAAGGATAAATGGTCTCTTAATGAGCTCATTTCACATTGCGTACAAGAAGAGGAAAGACTAAAGCAAGACAAGACAGAAAGTGCTCATTTTTTGCAAGCACCTCCAAGGCTAAGGGCAAAAGAAAGAGATCAGAGGATCTCGAGAAAGAAGGTGCTAAGGGTCCAGAACAAAAGAAACAAATTCAAGAAAACAAATATTTCTTTTGCAATAAGACTGTACACGTAAAGAAGAAATGTGCTAAATATCATGCTTGGCGTGAAAAGAAAGGGTTGCCTAAACTACCGGAAGCCAATTGATTCCGAAAGATGAATTTATGTTGGAGATGACAAATCGGTAGAGGTGGAAGCTATAAGTCATTTTAAATTATTATTAAGTACTGATTTTTATTTGGATTTGAAAGACACTTTTGTTATGCCGTCATTTAGACGGAATTTGGTTTCGAGTTTCTTATTTGGACAAATTAGGTTATTTATGTTCATTTGGAAACAATAAGTTCGGATTGTCTTTTAATTCGGATATTGTTGGAACTGGTTCACTTTTAATTTATGATAATCGAGTATTTACTTGATATTGTGACCACCTATAATGAAACCCTTAATGCAGAATCATGTGGTACTAAACGTAAAATTGAAAATACTCACTCAAGTGCATTATGGCACAAGTGCTCAGGTAACATCAAATTGTAACGTTTGGGCTTATGTTACACTCTTAAAGATATGGTAGAGAGTATGTTACACACTAAATATGACAGCTTATATTCTAAACGAGTACCAACTAAAGCAGCTACCAAAGCACCTTATGAGCTTTGGATTGGGCGACAACTTAGTCTGCAAGCATTTCCATGTGTGGGATTGTCCAGTCGAGGCAAGACCTTATAAGTCAAATGAAAAAAAATTGGACTCCCGAACAGTAAGTGGTTATATTATTGGTTATGCTTTGAAAGATCCAGGGGATATAAATATTATGATCCCACATTAAAGACAATTTTTGAGGCGGGAGCTGCTACGTTCTTTGAGGATATTGAGTTTGGGGGGAAGAATAAGATTAAGAACTTCATCTTGGAGGAAGAATCGGTAACAATTTCGAAGCCAGATTCAAATAGTTACTTTTGATAAAGTAAGTTCGGAACCTCCACAAGGCATTGTTGATGAACCCCTCACTCAAGATGATTTGGTTGTTCATGAAGAACAAACTCAAGATCCTCAAGAACACTGTGCATCATGAGCTAATAACTTGCGAGAGATCCACTAGAGAAAGAAGAAGTGCTATTTCGGATGATTACATGGTATTTCTTCACGAACATGAGGAAAATAATGATATAATGGAAGATGACCCAGTTAACTTCCGTCAAGCTATATAAGGTTCTAAATCTCAAAAGTGGATTGAAGCAATAGGATAAGTATAAGTCCATGCAAGACAATAAGGTTATTGGGAACTTGTCCCATTACCGGAAGGTATGAAACTCATTTGGCTTCAAGATGAATATTGTTGATGATTGTATGTATCACAAGTTTAAAGGGAGACAAGTTTAGTCTAAATCGAGTGCCCAAAGGGAATTTGGAAATTGAGGAAATGCAAAAGATTCCCTATGCATCAGTTGTAGGGAATTTGATGTATGCCCAAGTATGTACGCGTCCGGACATAGCATACATAGTTGGGGTTCTAGGCGAGATATTTAAGCAATTCAGGAATAAACCATTGGAAAGCGGCAAAAAGGGTCATAAGATATTTAAAGTGAACAAAAGATTATATGCTCACATACGGAGGTCGGACCGGTTGGAGATCGTCTGGATTTTCCGACTCAGATTTTGCGGGATGTCGAGAATTTGTAGCATGCTATGAGGCATCAAATCATGGAATATGGTGAGAAATTTTGTCATAGGGCTGCAAATTGTGAAAGGTATTGAAAGACCACTTAAGTTATATTGTGACAATAAATCAGTTGTATTGTTAAGGAAAGAGTACAAAGTGGACTGATTTTCATAGAACACTTAAGGACAAACTCCATGATACCAGATCCTCTGACTAAAGGACTTAGCCCAAGGTCTTTCATGAGCATTTTGCTCACATGGGTGTTTTACGAGTTTGAGGAATTTGTGGTTTAGTGGGAGTTAGTCACTTTCATATATTTTATGTTCTATGTTTAATTTCATATATGTATACATTGTTTTTTTGGACATATTTGGTTATCTATAGATATGCGGTTTTTTCGTTCATTCATTACACTTTGTACATTAAGGATATTATATCGATCTCAATAACTTAAAGTTTGGACCAGTTGAAAATAGACGTGTACAGATCACCTTCACGTAATTTTTCATGCTACACATTTCATGATGAATCCATGTCATTTGGTTATGTTAGGATGAGTAATCATTGTTGGTTTTAGTTGCGATGATGCAATGAAAAGCTGGTTTGGTTCTATATCTTAATATGATTAATGGACAGGACTTTTGGAGTATGCTAAAGGAATATAATGACACTTTTGAGCTCATAAAGTCTAACACATTTGTAAGGTTGTAAGGACATATATATTTGTGACCAGTGGGAGATTGTTGAAAAAATTTGGGTCATGTATATATATGATACATAATTTAAATGTGTTAGGGCCATTATTTATTAAGCCAAATAATAAAGTGATCTGACTAAATTAAAGTTTTGGCTAAAAGCATATGTCATGAAAATAAAATTGTGTAGAGACCATAGAGCAATTTCTAATTTGATGAGGGGCCAAATTGGAAATACTAAAACTTAAGTAATTAACCTAATTCTGGTTATCTAAAGGGTCATAGTCCCCTTCTGCGAGCACACACACAGAACGTAAGTATCAGTCCCGTTCCTTTCTTTCTATCCCCATCAAGAGAGAAAATCAAGAGGGAAATACAGGTGCTCTTCAGGTGGAAGATCATAAGATCAATATAGTGCTCTACAAAAACATCATCGTTATGGCTAATTCAGGTACGCTTTCGCATTTAGTTTACAGCATGTTTATATCAGGATTATTATTATTATTATTAATATTCCAACATATACCGATGCTTGAAATTCAAATTAGTGTTGAAATTTAGATTAAATTATAAATTAGATAAACAAGAAGGAGAAATTTACATGCAAATGAGAGATGAAAAGAAAAGAACAAAAATACAAGGTGGTTAGAGAAAGAGCAATAAAAACAGATAAAAGTAAAGCTGAGTTCTTTATACATATTTTACAAAATATTGCAATATTTATACTGATTGCATAATTGAGTGGTGTTGTGTGATAAAAGTGATGACTTGGTCAAATCAATGATTGTTGAAAGAGTGACACCTCTTTATATAATTATTTTTAATTCGAATAATAAAATATGTATATGGCTAGGTTCATTCCCAATCATGATTCCTGTTTTTTCTAGAAGAATTACGACTTCCTGTTCATCATACTATAAACATTTTTCGTTAGATTGGGATTTAATTGTTAAAAATTAAGTAACGTAATTATCATATTCCTTATTTATTTAATAAATTAGTTTGATATATAAGAATAAACCTTATAACCATTGTTTTGTACACTCACCCTGAACTGATTGATAAAAACGATAATAGAACAAAGAATGAAATATAAGTTCAATTTTAACTTTTTAATTTTTTGATAATTTTTTTAAAAAATTATATTTTTTGAATTTTTTTTTCTTTTAAATTAAGACTAAAACTGGTGCAAAGATAAGCAAAAAAAAATAAAAAAGAAGTATTCTTTGGAGAATTATGTATGCACGGAAAACAGATGACAAGATTAACACAAAAAACATATATTAAGAACGACACGGGATCTGACCGTTTAAACATTTATAAAAACAATGCAAATACAATCTTAAAACTTGTTGGCCATTAAATAAAACTGCAAAAGTGCAGTTCATTTCAATTGCAGAAGATCTGCATTCATAAAAGAAAGTATGATTGTTTGAGATTTGTAATTTTATTGATCTTTACAAAATTCACTCTATTTGTTCTCCTACCCAAAAATTCAAACCCTTAAACCATAAAAATAAATAAATACTACAGAGAGATACAGTATCCAGCATATGGTTGGGAGAAGTACAAGTAATGAATGATATCATCATCTAATTATCTTCCTCCGATCTTCATCCAACGAACCTAACAGACCAAACATCTATTCCTGAGTATTCCTTGAGGCGTCCGAGAATAGGCGATCCGAAGAACGTTCCCCGACATCTTCCTTAATGAGGTCCTTCGGTGAAGGGCTCCGAAAAAGCCAACGCCTGTCGTAGCCCCGCACGTGAGGGCTGCTGGTGGCGCCACCGAGACCTCTTGTCACGTGAGGACTAAGGCTGTTACCGACGCTTCTCGTCCTGTAAGTCCTCCTCTCACTATTCTCGCGCGTGAAAGTCACGTCCACGCCGCAACTCTTGGTGCGACTCAGCGTCGTCGAACTCATCAGCTGGTTCCGCACTTCCTCGGGCAAACGCAGAGTAAACCGCTCGCAATTCTCCCCCGGTTGAACCAGCGAGTGACCCGTCGAGTGAGACCGCGGGATCCAACTCGTGATGTTGAAACCCGTTGACCTTGACCGAGGTGAACGGTTGTGATTAATCAAGTCATTCGTCTTCGGAGAATCCGTGGTTTCGGGACGGACCGGGGAGCTTAAAACGGGTTGAACCGGATCGGGGATTTGGATGGAGACAAAGGAGGGGTCGTCGGGTTTGGGGACAAGGTTGGCGCGACAGACGGGACAAGTGGAGTGATTGACGAGCCACGCGTCGATGCACTCCGGGTGGAACACGTGGCTGCATTTGGGTATCAAACGCAGCGTTTCGTCCTCCTCGAACTCGTTCAGGCACACTGCACATTCTAGCGTGGCGCGCCCTATCTTGAGGCTCTTCACGGTGGAGTAAACGAAGGTAGGGAAGGTGTCGACGATTTCGCGGTCCAAACCGCGTTGCCGACGCGCAATCGAGATGGAGAGGTCGAACCTTCCTCGCATCCGTTGCTCCGCGCACTGGCGAGTGTACACGGAGAGGAACCCTAGGATGAAGAACACCACAACCAGGATCACCAGAACGATGGCCATGGACTTGTCGAACTTCAACCCCGAGAAGCGGTCGGGCGGCGGCGGCGTCAGCGTGTTGGGTATCTGAGCGGCGGCCGGCGGCGGAAAGTGTGTGAGGAGAAAAAAAGAAAAACAAAAAACGAAAAGAAGGTCATGATGAAAAATGGAGTGCGCTTTGAGTGCGAGAGTGGTCATTAGGGTTTGAATTTTAATGTCTGATTTGATTCGAAGGTTTCGGTCCTAATTAATAGTAGCCACCGTACATGGCCGCTGATTGCTCCTTTGATCTGTGAACAAAAGGTATCGTAACAGTTTGGATTATGGTGGCCAAGAAAAAAAGGTGGGTGTTTGATGTAAGCGAGAGATGGTGGTGTATTCAACTTCTTTGGAATTGTTTTCTCTGGTTTTATTGTTTGAAGACATGGACTTTGCGCCTATGTTGGGAATTAATTTTTTCAGGCAAGGATGAAGCTTTTATTTTCGGTAGGTATTCAAATTTTTTTTTCAAACATTCTTAATTATTATTAGTACTGCTCTTTTTTATGATAATTGTATTTTTTGTTTATTAAAGAATAAAATCTACTTTTGTCCTTTCGTCACCGATCCGTCCTCCCGATCATATAAAAAGTTGATGGATGGTTCTCAGATTTTACTTTTGGAGCCCCGACAGACCGCGCGTCAAGAGGAAACATACCGGCGTGTCTGATACGGTGGAAAATAAAATTAATTAAAAAAACAAATAAAATAAATTATAAAATTAAAAATAAAATAAAATAAAAAATACATGGCAAGATGAATAAAAAAAATACATATCAATTTATTTCAAATAAAAATATTGTATAAAATTTTAATATATTATTTTAGAATTATATATTTATAGTGTTCATGCTTAACTGCCGATCATATATAAAAGATAATATTAAATATATCTCGTTTGGATATTAATCCAAGATTTATCCTTACTAACTCAAAAATTATTGATTTATAAAGTTATTTGACGAGTCATTATATTTTTATATTTTTTTTATTTTTATATACTTATTTTAATTAGTATGTTGGATTTAACGATATATTATTAGTGAATTTTTATTAATTGGGTTTCATTAGGTCAATAATTCAAATTTTTATTAACTTGAATTTATTCGATCTAATTTTTGCTCATTATTATTTTCGGGACGAGTTTAAAATAATTTTGGACTTAGAAGATTAGGCCGGATGTCATGTCAGTTGTTCATTAGGATTAGAGTTTTTGTTTTATTTGTTTTTGATGTGTTTTGTGGGCTAGTGAGCCCAAACCTAGATTAAGATTAGAGTTTAGAGTTATTTGTGTTAGTGATCACGTAGGGTTAAAAGAAAAAGGAGGCACGTCATAACGCACATTACGCAGAGGGGGAATCACATCATGCAATCACACCACCTGAATGTCATTTTCGTCTTCTGCATTTTATATTCACGTTCACACATCGTTTGGCGAGAAGGTCGTCTCGCCACTCGCCAATAGTGAGACTGTCGTCTCGTTTGGCAAGAAGGTCTCTCGCCACTCACCAATGGCGAGACCGCCGTCTCGTTTCACAAGACGGTCGTCTCGAATGCGCGAGATGGCGGTCTCGACCTTTGTCAGGCGAGACAGATGTCCCAGTTTGACAGACACGAATTTCTATAAATATGACCTCCATTTCAGGAAAAAACACACAGAAAAAAAACATAAATTATATAATTCTTACTCCGATACTCTGTATACTTGCTATTCTTGCTCCAGAAGCCCAATTCTGGCTCGTTTAAGCAGTTTCGGGTAGTTTTCGATTCAAGAGAGGAATACATATGTAGAGTGTGGGGTTTGTCAAAAAACGTCCTTTACAAGAATATACATAAAAGTTTGCTTTAGAGGTTTTTACATCCCTTACTCTCTTTCTTTTATCGCTTTTATTACTCTCTTTGTGCATTAGATATTAGGGTCATGTAGTCAATTATTTAAATTTCACAATGAATAATTAAGGGTAAAAGCATAATTTTAATGTTCTTATTTTAACAATAAATAGTCCATCATAGGGAATCCGAAAGGGGCGTCGTGGGGAAACTAACACCTTCTTCGCACGTAACTAACTCCCTTACCTAACTCTGGTTATAATGACCAAAGTTGGTTTTTCTTAAAACCACCACATTCTTTTTTTCCCTTTTCAATGTTTTTGGTTAAAATATTGGTGGCGACTCCAGGACCCATTTATGAAAACCTCACCCTTGGAATAGTTCAGTTATCGGACATCCTAAGGGTGATGACCACACTTTTTAAAACGTGAATCGAATTAAAAAAAAATCATCACGTCGCTCCGACCGCCTCTTTTGACGACGACGACAGAGACAATACCTGGAGGTACCTCAGTCCCTACCATTAATGAGACGACAATACGTGCCTCCCGCTTAGGAATGTTCAAATTCCTCCTAACATGACGAATAAGTAAATATTAAGGAATGTCAACATAACAAAGTTACTTACTTATCCCTAAAGAGCTGAGTCGCCAGTTAGGCCCAAATTGGAACTCATGGTGCAATTTCTATCGGACTTGTGGACATGACACAAAAAAGTGTTATGATCTCATTTAATAGATTGAAGAATTAATTCGTGCTTGCAGCGTAAAGATGGATTTGAAAGAGATGAGCACAAGAGAGGAGACATGTTGCAATGACAAACACAATACGCATGTTTTAAATGATTTTAAGACAATAGTTGGAGGGTTCGCTGAAGGAGACAACACAAATTCTACTAGAAAACGATATTTGAGAGCATCCACATAGGTAATGCAACTTTCTTGTATTATCTCGTTGGATTCAGTCACTCACCATAGTTTAACTTTCTTGGACGATGACCTAGAGGGTATTATCCTCCATCAAGATGACCCCGTCGTTATTAGCATAATCATGATGAGTAGGAACATGCATCACATCCTCGTTGACCAGGGCAACTTGGAGGACGTCATGTACTGGGACACGTTTACTAGGTTAGGGGTCCCAATGGACGCCTTAAGACTATTTGAGGCAATACTAGTTGTTTTCCTAGGGACCAAGTGGAGGTCCGTAGTTATATAGAGTTATAAACAACAACTGGGACCGGTGATACAACAAAGACCATCATGGTGCAATATATGGTCATGAAAGCATTGTTGTCGTATAATGTCCTCTTAGGTCACTTATCTTTGAATTGTCTAGGAGCCATCATTTCAACAGTACACTTTAAGGTCAAGTACCCAATCGACAACGAGTTGATCGGATTATTATGTGTTAATCATCATATGACCTGACGATGTTACAAAAATAGTTTGTTCAAATAACACACATTTTACCTAACCTACACATATTAGGGGAATTCACTGCTAGACATAGACCCTGCCTAAGGACAAACGAACACTAACCCAAGTCGGTGGGTGAATTAAAGGAGATATCCCTTACAAACAATAAGAAGGTGAGGATCCGTGACAATCTCAACCTCGAATTAGCATGGGGACTTATCAACATGCTCCGAGAAAATGTCCATGTGTTTTGCATGGTCAACTCGAGATATTCCTAGTATCAACCTAGACTTTTTGTGCCATTTGACTCAAAAACTGACAGGAAAGACAATCAACACAAGACTATAACGTATAAACTCCAAAATCAGAGAAAAACCACAATGGTTATCTAATAATAACTAGAGAATAACACTATGTGAAAATGTTTACAACACAAACAAATATCTCATGCCCTTAAACCCCAAATACACCCACATTCTTTAAAGCAAGAATTTAAGTTCATTATATAGCTATTATCACCCGCTTCATTGCTTATCCAATAAAATGTGAGACTTTTCAATATATATTTTCATCAACCCAACAACTCCACCATGAGTAAAATAAACACATCTTTCTTTTTAAGTTAATTGTTTACACCAATAATCATTCATACTCCACTATAAAGAGTATACTCACTTGAAATTAAACCATCCCAAAAATTTTCTTTCACTACACAACTGCATCAATGCTAACTAATGCTCGTGTATAATCACCACACACCCTGCATCAATAGCCAATGCCCTTGCATAATTATCGCTAGCAAAATCTCACCATTTTTCTTGACAACATGGTTATGTCATGAGAATTTAATTTCATGTCAAAATATTGTATAAGCACATCTCTCTGTGTCACATTTGACAGTACTTGAAAATTACATTACAACTTCAGTAACCGAAGATAATTCTCTAGCAATAAGGAATTAATCATTTCTAGTGTGGAAGATCAGACTAAGCTGAAACCACAGAGCATACAAGGAATATCCTACTAAACCATAAGCTCTGATACCACTTTGATGGGAAAAAACGTCATGTCTTTATCCTACTAATAGAGACATAAGAAAAAAACAATCAACACAAGAATATAATGTGGAAACTCCAAAATCAGAGAAAATCCATGACTGTTATCTAATGATAATCAGAGAATAACACTATGTGAATCTTTTTACAACACACGGACAATGTCCTTTGACCCCAAATACACTCACACTCTCCAAAGGATGAATTTAAACTAATCATCTCAACACTTTACTATAAGAGTATAAGAAAAGTCAAATACATGCTTAAAGTATCTTTGACTATAGTGAGAAACATCATGAATTTAAGTCCATTATATAACTATTATCACCCACTTCATTGCTTAACCAATGCGTTGTGGGACTTTTCAAGATGTATTATTTTCATCAATCCAACAAAAGTAGAGTCAGTAATGCAACGACGAAGAAAGTTTAGGTGCAAGAAGTGACAGACGATTAAGGAAGAAACTTAGAAGTTATTCAATGTGGGTCACATCCGAGAGATACAATACCCAACATTGTTATTCAATGTCATCATGGTTAAAAAGAACTTAGGCAAATGACATATGTGCACGAATTTCGTTGAACTCAATAAAGTAGGACCATAGGATTCATATTCCCTCCCTAACGTAGACAACCTTATCGATGGAGCGTCTGGTTGCCAATTGTTGAGTTCATGGATGCCTGCTCCGGTTATGACCAAACATTCATGTATCCTCAAGACAAGGACAATATGACATTTATGGCTAAAACAATTAATTTTTGTTATAAGGTTTTTTCGTTCGGCCTTAAAAATGCAGGGCCACATACTAAGACTAATGAATATATTCCTCTAATCACTTCTTGGCTCCCATGAAGTG